CAGAGCCCTGTATGCACTTACAAAACGGTTCAGATGAATAGGTGTAGGCAGTTGGGATTGTCAGTATGCTAGTAGGTTACCTGAGGATTTTAGGTTATGTTTACATTACCAGTTAAACTATAAATGCAGGATGTATTTTCTTCGTTATTATGTAGCATAGGTAGGCAGTATTTGAGTGTCCAAATATTAGACTCTGTCTTCAGGAGGATGCAAACTACAGCGTGTCTGCTCTGTGTTACTGTGTTCTCTCACTGAGCCTGGGACTAAAGACACAGGGTCTGACTGCCGTGGCCGGTGCGTGAATGTTGCCAGGTATGTCCATGGGCAGAGGCAAAGCCACAGTCTTGAGGCCCAAGCTAGGCTAAGCAGGCACAGGGGATGCATCAAGGCATACCCCTGCTCCCCACGCAGCTGGCCAGGAGTCTCCTCTCCCACTACGTCTTTTCCTGGTGGGGCTGCCAGCCTGAATCCTCTCCTGCAGGTCCCCACTCACAAAATGTGGGGAGAAAAACCATCAACAGCTGTCCTCTGAAGTCATGTTTGCTTCCTGTGTGTTTTCAACAAGCTATTCCAGAGCTCTGCGTCAGAAAAGGAAAATATCTATTGTAAATTGGAGTGCGACACTCTCATTTTGTCTCTGCAAACCTTGCAGCTCTTAAACTGCAGCTCAGTCAGACACGACTTCTGAATTTCCCATTTCCACTTAGTTGTCTGCTACATTCTCTCTGCATTTCTGTTTTTTTCCCATTGGCCTTTCCTTTCTCCCCACTAGAGTTTAAGTTACCCACTTTTTCAGGGCTGTAGCAGCCCATGGAATTTCCTCTATTTCTTTCTTTTACTTCATCAGAACTCAAATAATGTTAGAAAAGAGGTGTGTGAGGGACCACAAGAAGGGTCTCATGCTCTAGCATGTAGCTCATGGGCCTCTTGGACTCAGTCTGCAGCATGAGTAAAAGGTGAGTGGGGAATGCATGTCTGGTGCAGACGGTCTTAGAAATGTGTGGGGCCACACTGGTTTTGCCAGGGAAGTTTTTAGGAAGCCATAAAAAGGGAGAAATTCTCAATTCTAGCCTATCATTACTTCATGATAGGATCATCTGGCTTTGAGTAACTGGTAAGTACAAATCATAACAGATTTTTGCCAGCCTGTTCTGAAAGATCTCAGAAGATTAACAACCCACAGCCTCTCTCTTGGCACCCCACTCGAGCACATTCCAGTCCTGCCAACTGTGAAAGTCGTTTCCAAATTTCTAGGTATTACCTCAACCTCTTTTGTGACACTGAAGATCGCTCTATCCCAATGAAGAAGAGTTCATTAGCTTCACTTGTGACCAAACCAGCCTCTTTCTTTCAGTCACTCACCATCAGACATGTTCTCTGCCATCCTTCACACCACGCTTCCTGCATTCCCCTGGACCCTCTCCACTGTGCACCCATCTTCTCTGAGCTAGGGTGCCCAAGTAACATGTCTTATTCCAGCTGTAGCTTTGCCAATGCTGAGTAGTGCTAAACTATTACCTCACTTGGCTTGCTGGCTATACTCCAGGTTATTCCAGTATCATCAGTATCATGTTTGCTTTTCTTTTCACAGGAACATGATGCTATTGAGACAGATCTGGGCTCCTTTTCATCCTATTTAAATTTGCTTTTTTGAGTTTGAACTTTCTATCTGGAATATTGATTTTTTTTAAATTTTCTTTTGTAATATGGTAGTACAGCTTTAATAGTGGAAATTTAATTGGAGTCTATTTAATTGGAGTCTGGTGTAAAGGTAATATTGATTTAAAACTGTTACTGTACTTTTGCATAGATTTTATGTGTATGCAGACAGAATTTAGCTAACTTCCACTGAATAAACTTATAAAAATCAATCAATTTTTCTAACCCGCCTCCTCAGGACATTGTTAGCGGCATAAACTCCAAGGCATAAGGGTTAATGTTTTCTTCATTTGGTAATTAACAATGCAGGGTTTTTTTGGCACTGGAATTTAAAGAATAACACATGCAGTTCTGCCCTACTTTTCATTTAAAATGTGATGTTCAGTGGTAACAATAGCTAGTTCCTAATTAGTGATTTTATCTCCACAGCTTAAAAATCTTTGTGAAAAACAGATATACATTATTATTGCTATTCTGCAGAATTCATCTTTGTTTTTCTCTTGTTTGATTTGCTGAGGGACAAAGATTGATTTGCCAGATCCTCCATGACATGTTATTACAAGGTTTGCCAGTTAGAACCAACGTTTCCTGAATTGATCTACTTGACCGTAAGGCTTTAAAAATACTCTCACTAGCCTTTCTATTGCACAAATACAAGGGGGTTAAAAAGGTGGCTTGTCATGCTGTACTGCATCAACTCACTGTGAGACACATTCAGTGGTGTTTTTTTCCCAATTATTTTAATCAATTTTCCAGCTACAGGAAGCCTGACTGACAGCCTGAGAAGCGCCCACCTGCTCCGTTCCCTACCCTTGCCCTACCACCACCTCTCTGGATCAGCTTCAACACTGCTGAGTCTCAGATCCAGCTCAAAGGTCTCTTTGTACCACAAGTAAATTAAATGTTGCCGTCCCAAGGATGAGAACAGTTCGACTTTTTTCACCCTCGCTCTTGGTGTAGCAAAGCTCAGTGGTGCCACAGCTGTGACGAGCATATAGCTGGGAGACTCCCAGCCTCCCCCTCTGGCTCGCCAACCCCAAACTCTGATGCAGGGGTGCGAAGCACACTGCTCACCCCCACCTCTGATATCCATGAGGTGAGTGTTTTATGTACACCAGACAAGGGCAATAGTGTGATGCATGTAGCTATTTGACTGTCTCAGACAGTCAAACTGTATCGTTTCTTCACAACACATCTAATAATTAGGATTCACAGAGCATTACAGGAAAGACATGTATGAAATCCTAGCAACATTTCTTAGAATGACCATACCATTGTTTTTCTTAAGTATGGTCACTCTGCAACTTTTTTCTGTTTTTTTTTTTTAATCTTAGAAAGCTGATTTTACACACGTGTTACAGCCCCTACCGCTGATGCAAAAGTGTAGGTCTCCTTTGCCTATTTAGGAAGCCTCTATTAATCATAACATAGATGAAGTCATCTTTGACAAATTTCAGTCTCTAGAATGTTAGCATATTAAAAGCTGTTTGATAGAGTAAGGAGTCCTTTATGTCCATTATTAAGAAAAAGACCTATTATTTGTGGTATTCAAGAGTGACTTTTCAATTGTTGTAGTTTGATCGAAGACTCTAATCCACAGATCTTTATGTCTTTATCAAAATGTGGCATGTTGCTGGGAAGATTAAAAACCAGTGCCAAGGTCGGGCAATTATTTTAGCAACTGCAAGTTCTAAATGAGTGTGGAACCGTTTTCATTCTTTCGGCTTTAAACATTTTCTTGTGTAGCAAATTAAAATAGTACTAACAACAGGAAGGGGATTTAAAGGCCTTTTAATCACCTTTCTTTTCTCTTTTAGAAGTGGTTCACTTACTTCCCAAAGCCAGTGGACCACAGGTTAAAAAAATAAAGTCAATTAATCATTGCTCTAATTCTATTAACTGTTTCTCATCATTTACATATGTATACAGATGTGTGTTTTTATAATGTGTGTATGTATATAGAAATACTACAGATAGATAAAACTGCTTTCTAAGCAGCTAGCTAGCTCTAGCCCAACAACCCTGCCGTCTTGTGTTTCGTACAGTGAGATCAGTGGCCGTTTGGATCAGGTGCCGTGTGTGCAGTTTTCTGTGATACAGCTGAAGTCATCAAACCCAACTCAGTCCCTGTGTAGATTCACTCACTGGGATAGAGAGTCAGGGCATATGGAATTGCACTCGTTTGGTCTCATGACTGGAAAACTTCAGGGGCAGACCTACATCTGGTATTAATTGGTAGATCACTGCTTGTGTTTTTAAAAAAATGCTCCTCCATCTGTTTTCTATGCTAAAGTGAAATCAATGTATGTTCTAAACCTTATAAAAGCAGATGTTACTTTTTCCCCCAATAAAACTGCTTTTAAAGAGAGGACTGTATCAACATGCTTTCAAACTAAATTATAGATGCTAGGTACATGACTTTTTCATTCAGTTTATCAGACATGGAAAATGAAATATATTGTGCTTGCCATGCACAGCTCCACAGCCTCCTCCTGGGATTACTAAAAATGGCATCAAGTGTCACGTCTGACCCAGCCACTCAGCTGTCTTGAAAGCGAAATACACCATGACTACCATTGTCCAGCAGCTATCATTTCCCAGATCCAGGTCTGGTATTTAGGTTATCTTAATAGCTATTGTTTAGCAGACAACAAAAGGAATCGCCTTTTACTTCAGCAGATATTCCCCTCAAAAACCTCAGAAGTCACGTAAAAAATAGGTGCAAACGAACAGAAAAGGAGCCCACTCCTTATTGTAATAAGGAAATGGAGACATCACAGCTACCCTTAGAGCTTGCATATTTATTGAACAAATCCTACTAAAATAGCTAAAATACATTGGGTACTTGTAGTGCATTATTAAAGATCACATTGTTACAAAAGCCTGCGTTTTCAGCAGTACACAACTGCAACTATACATAAATGCCACAACTGCTGAATATTACTTCTTGCTTTATGTACAGCACAGTAGACGCATCTAATCTATTGGAAAATAAAATGTACAAGGAAAAGGGATATAGGAGGAGGGGAAAGGAAAGAAATCTAGGAAGTGCAGTGCATGCATTAGTATTTAACAGTCAGAAGCTAAAACAGTTCAGAACAAGGCCTGCCCTGTAAAAGGAAGAGCTAAAAGACAGAGTTATATAAAAAATTAAGGTGGGCTTTCAGACTGTGTCTAACACAACAACACTCCATGAGTAGATGATACTGTTTAGTTTTGTGTTTTGTGGTGTTTTGTATTGATAATAGTCTGGGAGCAAGAACAAAAATGTAAAGTCCACATGTTGACGGTACTGTGGAAATGTACTC